CAGTGCAGGACATGTCCCAGTTATCCGTGCCCGTGGCATGGATGGCACAGGGAGCAGGGAGTGGGAAGGAACAGGGGCTGTTTGCTTTTTTACTGGAGCTGGGAGATCACTTGAGCTTTCTCTGTTGAATGGAAACATAAAATTCCACTTTTGGTCTGCTTTCAGTGCTGAGGATTTATTTCTGTGTGTCCTGGATTGTGTCTCTGGGAGAGTATTTATGGAATAACATGGATGCTACTGCTCTGCTCATACCCCAGTGCAGGGAGTGAGAACTTATGAGAACTTACTTCCTATTTATTTTCCTCTCAGAGACATCAACTCTGATTTCTCATATTTTTTTTAATATCCTTTATTTGCTCATAATGGCAGTGAGTTAAGTAAGGAGTCTGAGTAACTCACAGATAAGTTTTTAATAACAACATCTCAAAAGTTTGACTGTCCTTATATTTATAAAACTAAATCCCATGTTTTGGTTTTACACTGCTGAAATTTCATTAAATTATGTAACTCTAATTTTTATTCCCCCCCCCGAGATGTGACATGGCTGGGGCTACAATATCAACAGGATTATTTTATTTTTTATATCACTCTTGATAGCATTTCGGTGGAGAGTAATGTAATAATTGTTTCCAGATAAAATTGCTCCAAGAGTTTCATGAGCAGAGGCTCCCTGAGAGTTTGGCCCATGGAATGAGGCTGTTTTTAACTCAAGAACACTTGCTCAGGTTTCCAGAACCTGTTTATTCTTGGTTGCAGGCAAAGTGCTGTCAGTGTTGATCCAGTTGGATTCCTGGCTTTTCCAGGGATATTATTTTCAAAGGGATGAAACAGTCTGGATATTATTGCCTACAACTTGGGATTTGCATCTGGTTTTGTGAATTCCTGATCAGTAGATAAGTGGTTTGAATTTTCAAAGATGTTGGAGCTTTAAAACAAATATGGATCATGGAATCATGGAATGGTTTGGGTTGGAAGGGACCTTAAAGACCATCCAGTTCCACCCCCTGCCATGGGCAGGGACACCTTCCACTAGCCCAGGTTGCTCCAAGTCCAACCTGGCCTTGGACATTCCAGGGATGGGGCAGCCACAGCTTCCTCAGCTCCATTTCTGAGCTTGAAAAGTATTATAATAAATTCATCTGGAGAGAGGGGAAGGTGGTTTTGTAAAAATCTGCGGGTTTTACCTTTTTAATTTGAAGCAGAGATGAACCTCAAAAGTTCCCCATTGGAGAAGAGGCTGGAAAATCACTTTTGACTCAGTCAAAATATTTAAAAAAGATGAGCTGATACATTAACAGATCATTAAAAGACACAGAAAAAGGCTCCAAGATACCAATTTTGGGAACTTCTGATCTTGATTCCTTCTCTTTCCTGCCAAGCTTGAATCCATGGTGGTTTTGTTTTCCTAAAGCTGGTGTAAGTGGGACAGTTGGATTTTGCCAGAGGGCTGTGATTTGCTGCAGCCTTGTGCCCACAGTGGGGTTTATAACCTACCTGGGGAGAGATCCTGTGCCAAGCTGTGCTGTGCCAGGACGTGGTGTCTGGGCACCTTCAGGTGCTGCTGGTGTTTGCTGCAATCCTGCCCTGGCATTTTTGTTTTTCCAGCAGTTTCTGTGGTACCTCAGCAATTTGTTAAAACCCACTTGGAATATTTTGACTAATTCCTGTGAGGTGGGAGTGTGTGTCCCGATGGTTTGGATCTTGGTTTTGTCCTCTGCTGTGCAGTGCTTGCAGATGTTGGTGACAATAATCATGGAATCATGGGATGGTTTGGGTTGAAAGGGAACTTGAAGACCATCTCATTCCACCCCCCTGCCATGGGCAGGGACACCTCCCACTAGCCCAGGTTGCTCCAAGCCCCGTCCAACCTGGCCTTGGACACTTCCAGGGATCCAGGGGCAGC